TATATTGAGCCTCATATTTTCTAATTTCAAGGCACAGAAGTGGTGGCATTCTGGCAACGTGCAGATGGTAAGGTAAATAACCAAAACAGCTAGTGGGTACATGGTTCCTTTCTCAGGTGTGAGAAATTTGGAAAACCAATATTTCTACTGATCTCAATTCAGACAACACTCTATCCAAGCTTCAATATGGCTACAAGAAACACTCACAATACCTTGCATGAGTTAAACAAGATCAAGAGAAAATTTGAAGCCTTACTTTCTTTTCCAAGTAAGCAAATGACATGAGTAGCATCTCATGCTTCTGCAGAGCTACCTGGCATTGTAACTAAAAGATGCTTTCAAAGAGCTCAGTAAGCCAAACCCTGATCCAAAATTAAAAATACATTTTAAAAAGCAAAGGCAGGTTTTTCATTATTTTCTGACTGGCTTAAAATGCTTCTCTCCATAAAAACCCTTTAAGAATTATGCTCACCCTGTTAAGAGCTGAAAGCTCAGTGAGCTGGAGCATGTGGCTATACAGCCAGTAGCCAAGACTTCTTGCCTCCTGGGAAAGGCCAGGAGAGATCATCCAAAGTTTGGAGCCAATGGGGTTATTTACCTTACCATCTGCACGCTGCCAGAATGCCACCACTTCTGTGTGCCTTGAAATTAGAAAATATGAGGCTCAATATAACTCACAGGTCACTTTAGGCGCCACACCCCCAGGCACTATATTTTCCCCTTAGTGAAATTAGGTGTCCTGGGTACCCTCTGGCCCCTCTCTCAACTCCACTAGGTACAGCTAGCAGTTAGGACCTTTCATCACCACCTGGTACCCAGGACACCTAAGTCAATAATTGATCCTTGGCCGAAACACTCTCCTTGTAACAGTTATGGATCTGCTGGCTGGAAATCAGCAGCAGCCGCCTTTAGCTTTCTCCCACCACCTTCACAGATGTATTTGGTGAGGACATGGGAGAAGGCCTTTTCTGTCACCACTCCCAGATTCTGGAACTCCCTCCTAGTGGAATCCAGGCTGGCCCCATCTTTGGTGTCCTTCCACATAGACAACTTTCCTCTTTAAACAGGCCTTCCCCTAGGGACTAGATGTCTAAGTGGGGTTTTAAAATGGATTGCTGCATATTGTTACTTTGTGTGTGGCTTTGGTGTTAATTTTGCTTGTCATTTTAGTTTGGCATCTGTTTGATTCTTTTGCAATATATGTACAGTACAGTGGATATAAAACGTTTACACACCCCTGTTAAGCATCTCTGGAGCATCTTTGCAAAGAAGAGTGGGGAAATATTGCCAAGTCAAGATGTGCCATACTGAGAAGACTCATATTCAAAAAGGCTGAATTCTGTAATAAAATCAAAAGGTGCTTCAACAAAGTATTAGTTTAAGGATTTGCACACAGATGCAACCATATTATTTCAGGTTTTTATATTTACTTCCCTCCACCTAAAAGATTTCAGTTTGTTGTTCAACTGAGTTGCACAGTTCACAGGTTTAATTAAAGGTGGAATAAGTTCTGAAATGCCTTATCTCTGTCTCATTTTTTTTACATCACATACACTTGACATTTTAACAGGGGTATGTAAACTTTTTATATCCACTGCAGACTTACTGTTTTTAGCTTTTAAATATTGTCTTCTACTGAAGTAAGCTGCCTTGGGTACTTTATAAAGAGAAAAAGTGGGACAAAACATTTTAAATAAAAATAGTAAATAAACAGCAATAACGCTGGGTTAAATCATAGAAGCCTCTGTGCTGCTAGATCAAAAGACCAGCAGTTGTGAGATTGAATTCATGCGACAAAGTGAGCTCCCATCGCTTGTCCCAGCTCCTGCCAAGTAGCAGTTCAAAAGCATATAAATGCAAGTCGATAAATAGGTACCACCTCAGTGGGAAGGTAACGGTGTTCTGTGTCTAGTCGCACTGGCCACATGACCATAGAAACTGTCTACAGATAAACACTGGCTCTATGGCTTGGAAACTGGGATGAGCAAGAGTCGGACATGACTGAACTAAATGTCAAGGGGAACCTTTACCTTAGAAGGCTTCAAATTCAATCCCAAGGGAATTTCCAGCCTGATAGCTACTGTTACTAGCTTTGTCAACAATACAAAATTAGAGGGACAAGCAGTTCTCCTGCATCCAGCTTAAAGGATGAAAATATAGTGTCTAACACAGGACTGACTCAACACTGTAAACCAAGAATGACTGAGAGCATCCACATTGCCTACATTTCTCCCTTTTGGTGGTACTTAAACTAGAATAAATCACACATATCGGTCACACTCTTCCACACCCTATCCAATCTTCAAAAGCAAGCTGCCTTTCAGAAGTGCCTGACAGAGGACCATTCCACCATAAGCAAAATCAGAGACAACCCCACATGCCTCCAGAAAAGACTGATTCAGAGAGAAACAAAACAGTATGAAAACAACTATTTATTTGTTTTGAACTTCCAGCAGCCGCTCTTAACGGTTTGACTTGGCCACACGCTCCAACTCGTCCTTCTTCTTGATGGCATAGGAGTTAGAAGAACCCTAGAAAAGGAAGCAACTGAGAATCACAAACCTAAACAGGTGCCCAAGTCTAGGCAATAGAGATTCCTGTATAAATATCTCCCCTAAATCCCACTCTTCCTTTCTCCATCCTACACACAGTGCAGTGGAACTTCACAGCAGCTGAAGACATTGCCACAAAAGGGGCAAGGCTCATACTACAGAAGTCACACTGGGGATGCTGTTAACAGTTGAAACATAAGAATAGCAGAAAGACCTCTTCCCAGCTTCATAGAGGTCTCTGCTGCTGCAAAAGGCCACGATTCTGCTGTGCATTTCTGTAGGTAGCTTACTGATGAAGATTTTAAATAGTGCTAAGCCTGCAGATCAGATGACTTATTTTAGTAAAACCTCACAGCAAGGGTCATAGTAAAAAAATAAGTCTTGTCACACCTCAGACACTGACATTTATAGTGGCATAAACTTTCATGAACAGAACCTTTTCTATCAGATGCATTTTTAATTATAGTGGGGACTTGCTTATTATTATTCTCCAAACCACAATATTTCTCTGTTGGAGGATGCACCTCTACATTGTCTTAAAACTTGTCAAACATGGCCAGGCTCTTATACCTTTTAATCTCCAGCCATGAAGAGACTCCCAGACGCTGCTCAAGCCCAGCAGCCAGACCACCTTAAGATAACTTTGCAGTTACTTCATCTCACCTTAGCTGCGTTGATCAGCTCATCCGCTAGGCACTCGGCTATGGTCTTAATGTTACGGAAGGCAGCTTCACGTGCGCCAGTGCAGAGCAACCAGATTGCCTGCAGAGAGAGAGAGACAGAGATCAGTTGGCAAGGACAGTCATCTCAGACAATCAGATCTTGCTCTTCCTCAAAGAATAATCCATACCTGATTGACACGGCGCAGTGGTGACACATCAACAGCCTGTCTCCTCACTGTGCCAGCTCGGCCAATACGGGTGGAGTCTTCACGGGGGCCACTGTTGATGATGGCATTCACCAGGACCTGCAGGGGGTTCTGCAACAAAGACAACGGGGACTAAGTTTCACAATCGCAACTAACTCTTCAAAGAACATACACCAGCTTCTCTGACTATAAAATGGGCACAGCCCAAGTAAAGATTATTTTAAAAACCTTTTGCCGTCATGTGTCAGAAATGAGGTTCAGACAGTTAATTCCAATAAAAGGTTTTGTTGTCACCTTGGATGATAGGACTGTTCAATAATTAAGTATTCTACAGCTATATTTGCTACTGTCTCCAATGCAGGTGATAACTGACAAAGCATAAATACACACTTAGCTAAGACAGACTACATATCTTACCAAAGGAGACAAACAGGTACCCAAATTTCCCCACCCTCAAGAGAGCAATATAGAACAAAACTAACAAATGCCAATTATTGCAAAACTCGTAAAGCCAGCTAAAATATAATTCAAACCAGATGATCTTGCAGCTCTGGAAACCCCGCAACACAAGTCTTCTGCATAAAAATCATGGCTACCAAAGATCTGAAAACTAGTTACTGAGAGTCCATGAGCAACTGTCTTGTGTTGAAATCCATCAAGGCTTAGTCGAGTGGCAACAACTTAAGGCAGGACAACAAACTTGAAACGTTTTACATCAGTATGGCAAACTGTGCCAAGCACTTGTTCCAACATGGCCAACCAGACCCCTGTACTGCCGTCAGTTTGCCACTCCAAGCTTTCTTCCAGCCTTAATGTCAGAGTAAAGAACTGCACTGTATCGTGATACTTCCTTCCTTCCCTTTAACATCAAATAGTGTGCAAGTTATTTGTAAAACTTATACTGAGCAGATGTCCTTCCAGCCTAAATGACCCTTATATGAGCCTCTTAGTCAAACACTATGTGAAAATTATTTCAGTATACTATGTATTTCCTTTCCTAAAATGATGAGGGCACTTGGGGCACCAGCAATTCCTCAAATAAACAGCTCCTAATCAGCTTGGTTTCTTTGTTAATGGACAGTAATATTGAACTTAGTAATATCTTAGAACTGCAGAGCTGGAAAGAATCCTATGGATGATCAAATCCAGCCCATCAAGAAAAGCCAATGAGGAATCAAACTCCCAATCTCTGCAGCTTAAACCACTGAGCTAACCAGCAACTCGTAAACGAACATATGTCTCCTGGGACAGAAAGTAGTCCTGAGTTTCTGCATTCTCAAAAGGCTAAAGCATGCTGGCTACTGCTCCATGAGAAGACAGGAAACCCCTCGCTACTCTATCAACGTATTTCTAATTATACAAAAGCTATGCTTCCACGTGTAGTGCAACACTTGCATAAAAAGTACACACCGTTCTTTCCCATAGGCATGAGTTCTTCACTTCCTTACCATTTGTCCATGACCAAGTATCCATCTCATAATTTATCCCCTTTATTCCAACAAGACTAAGCAAGTGCTTTCCTCCCATGCTCACCTCTCCTGTCAGCAGATGGATGATTTCGAAGGCATGCTTGATGATGCGCACAGTCATGAGCTTCTTGCCATTGTTGCGCCCGTGCATCATCATGGAATTGGTGAGGCGCTCCACAATGGGGCACTGGGCTTTGCGGAAACGCTTGGCGGCATATCGCCCAGCACTGTGAGGCAAATATTTTGCATACTTCTCCTTCACGGCAATGTAATCCTACAGAAATCAAACAAAAGCCAACACACTAAAGGACAGGAATTTGAGCAGAAACGCAGGCAATTCCCCCCAGCCCAAGATCTCAACTGCAAAACGTAATCCTACAGAAATCAAACAAAAGCCAAGACACTAAAGGACAGGAATTTGAGCAGTGAAACGCAGGCAATTCCCTCCAGCCCAAGATCTCAACTGCAAAATAGCACTGACCTGAAGTCTTTCTCAACAGAGTTTGATTACACCAGAAATGGGAAACCCCAGCCCTCAAGATGTTCTTTGCCTGCAAATCTTATAGGCCAGTGATGTGGGGGTGGGGGTGGGAATTCTGAATGCATGATGATACACATAATCATGAGCTTCTTGGCATTATTGCATTTTCACACCATCACAGAGTTGGTGAAGTGATCCACAACAGGGCACTGGACCTTGGGAAAATGCTTAGCAGCATATTGTCCATATATTAATTTTAGCATACAGAACAACATGTATGAGATGCACTGCTCATCTAACCACCTCTTTCCAGTTTCATTGCCATTGTCTGCAGAATACATTGCCAAATTTTGTACTAGCATCCTTTCACTGCTACTAATGAACTGAATGAAACAACATTCCTTTTTAGAAATGGAACATCTTCTGTCATACACCCCAGTTCTAGCCAGGGGAGGGAGTATGAGAAAAAAGGTCCAACACTGGCTGAAAAGCTGCAGTTACCTAGGCCTGGTTTATTATTTGTTTATTTACTGATACATCCATACATTTATTTATATGCCAGGCCATTAGTACAAGCACTACCTTGGGCAATTTGCAGAAGGCTAAAACTCATAAACCCTCAATATGCAACAATAATGAAAACAACATAGTTCAAAGCAATACAAGAGGCAATAATTTAACCACAATATTAAAAGCCCTATTAAAAATCAACAATTCCGTTGTTATGCTGTCTGTCAGAATACCTGCAATGATATGTCACTGATCTGAACATCATCTGTGCTCCATTTCCCAAACAGTTTGATATCCGGGGTCTCTGCCACAGCAGGGGCTGTCTCCCAGTCAGTCATTCTGGAGAGAGAACGAGAAGCTATTAGATTGTGTAAAGGCCTAAATGCACTCTACTGTAGGACAGAGGTCCACAGATAACCTATATTTGCTCCTCTACCTACATGAAAGCATTAAACAGGGATAGGCATGTATAATATCCTGCTCTTGGCAATTCCTTCCAGATTCATTAGGATGGACAAGACTACTGAGCATAGATTTTAAAAACCAAGATATTTGCACAGGTTCTGGGAAACATACTTGTCACTTCAGTGTCAGATCTACCATCACTCTCTAGTACAGTGCCACTTATTCTTTCTAGCCAAATACCTGAAATACTGTTTGCAAAACTACCAGACTTATAATGTCCTCAGCCATGGCAGTTTTTCGTAAGGGGGGCAATCTGATCCCCACCTCCAAAGGAATTCCTTTTGTGGTGGGGAAGCTGCAGGATATGGGAGCGGGGAGACTCTTCAATTTCCAAAAATGATGACTGCTAAAAGGACTTTATGGTTAGTAACCAATTTATAGACAAAGAAACCTCCAACACACTACCCTGTGGCTTTCGCATGAAAAGGATTTCATAGAAGCCCTGGGACCTTCAGGTGGAGCATCAGAAACGTTTTCTTTCCAGCAAATCTCCGTGGCTTATGACATCTGCTCTTTACCCAGACATACACAGGCACAGGAAAAAATGTTGTATCCGAGTTACCTGCTTGGTCTGCAAATCAACTGAACTTCATTCAAGACTTGGTTTAAAAATACAACTCTGCCTCTTCCTTCTGAGGCAATGGGAACCCATGATCCTTTGAATGTTGCCAAACTCCAATTCTTATAAACCCCAGCCAGCCTGTACTGCTGGGAGGCATGGCAAGAGTTGTACTTCAGCTACATCTTTAAAGCTGTAACTCTTCCACCTCTGGCCTAAAATCAGGACCACTTGGCCAAGCAAGCCTGGGTAATACGGGAACTTGGGGATGTAAAAGAATTGATCCGCATTTTTTTAAAAGGCTGAATATTAGCCCAACGGGGAAGGCCACGTGCCTATGCTTGCCTCCGCCTGCTCAGTGCCTCCTCAAGAGGTGGGTCGTGGGCAATCAGAACCTGTTTCTTTAGGAGGGATGGAGGAGGAGGAAGCCAAAACATCCATAATAAGCACATTTAGGGTAGGGAGAAATTAACAAATAGAAGCGGGGAGAGAACAGGCAGTGTCTGCTTCTCCCCTGAGGGGTGTGAGACCCAAACAAAGCACATTTTAATTATAAGCAATTTTAATTTTATTTTAAAAAATAATCTACAGATGGAAATGAGCAACAGGCAATTATGACTATATGCTACGTGAGAAGGAGGAACAGGCATCATTTGGGGGAGGAGGGGCGTCCACAGCATTTCTTCCCCGCTTGCCCTGTTAAAGCGTCCAAGGCCACCTCAGACCCCCCCCCATCTTTCCTCCCTCACAGCCGCCTTAAGAGGAAATCATCAGAGGCGGCCTTTCGGGGAGCTTCGTGGGTTACGTAGCAATCCACCGAGGACCCACCGGGCCGCCTCGGCCACCCTTCCCCGCCATATCTGCCGCCTTATTTTCCGTCCCCGTTGCCAACTTCCAGACCTTCAACCCCGGCTCTGTCCTCCTTCACCCCCACGGTGCTCTCTTTGCCCGGAACGGCCCTTCCTGCCCCCCGCCATCCCCGGCCGCCCCACAGACTCACATGGAAGGCCTCCGCTCCTGCTCGCGGGCTCCGGCGGAAAAGGGCCGCGCGCGGGGTTACCCAGAGCCTTATCCAAGGGCTGAGGACTTCCGGCAGTTCATACGCATGCGGAGATCCTCTCCAGCCGCCGTCTTCATAGAATCATGGATCAAAGGAAGGGAACTCTCGCGTTGGTTTGGGTCGCGTTTGGCGCATGCGGGCTCGGTTCAAGATGGCGGCTCGGCGGAGGGTGTGGAAGGTTGCAGAGGAAGCCTTCTGCCTTGTTTGTGTGTCCTCTTATTGATTGATTGATTGATTCTATTTGTATCCCGCCTATCTGGTCGTTGCGACAACTCTAGACGGCTTATGAAGGGGTTTGTTCTTTCCTCTCCTTTTTCTCTTACCACCAATCCCCTCTGACTCTCTTTGAATTTAATTTTATAGTGCTTCCAATTCCTCTCAGTGTTGGAAAAGCTTGCAGGCTTGTCCAACTTTGGGCCTCCAGATGTTCTTGGACTTCAACTCCTAGAAATCCTGGCCAGCAGAGGTGGTGGTGAAGGCTTCTGGGAGTTGTAGTCTAAGAACATCTGGAGGGCCAAGGTTGGACAAGCCTGAGAGGTTTAGGTGTTTCGCGTCTGCGCGCTCCAGTCATCTTCTCGTGTGTTTTCAGGAGGATGGATCAAACGTGGTGCTAACTTCAAGTGAAGCAAAACCGTAGAAGTTAGGGAAAGCTGTCCATACTTGTAAGCTACTGCTAATATGAAATATCTTGACAAGATGTATCTATAATAAATCTTCTGCTGTTTAGTCATTAAGTCGTGTCCGACTCTTCGTGACCCCATGGACCAGAGCACGCCAGGCCCTCCTGTCTTCCACTGCCTCCCGGAGTTGGGTTAAATTCATGTTGGTTGCTTCGATGACACTGTCCAACTATCTCATCCTCTGTCGTCCCCTTCTCCTCTTAGTAAATCAGACATGCTACTAAATCTGTGTGGAGTCTATGTAGAAATAACCAGAGCTTACAAGCATTGCTTTTTTTTTTACCACTCTTCCACCAATCCCCTAGCCAGCATTGTCATAGCTGGGAGTTCTAGAAACTGTAGCTCAAAAGGGTAGATTTTCAAAAATCTGCAACATGACCAAATTCTTGGCCAGGTGCCTCTTGGTGTGCCTTCTCTCATATGGTGAGCCCTTCTCTTATGTCATAAGCCTAACTCTCTTTTCCCTTTTTTGGGAGGTGGCATCTTGGTGACTAAGAGCAAAAAAGAACTTTTCTGAAAGTTATGGCTGATATTTATAACAGTAGCATTTGGAGAAATATCAGCACCAAGATTAAAATATGTTTTCAGCTTGGTGTTCTGAGTAATGATACCATTGTCTGATACCAAGTCTGAATACAGAATGTGTATTATTCCCTCCATAATCCTGAAGTGCAAGGTCTGTAACATACAGGCACATACAAATTTATTGCTGAGTGCAAGCCATTTGTTTACAATGTAACCACCCCTTTCACCAAAGGAAGCTCTCTAATGTCAGAAGGCACCATTTTCAAGTAGCTTCTCTTAAGCACCTACATACATATCTCAGTTAAGTGCTTTAAGAGGAAGATACTGGAACTCAGCAGCAAAACCAGAGTATCTTCTCTTGTGGGGTAACTGGAATGCTGTCCTTCCTTCACGCAAGTTGATAAATGAAAAATGTGTCGACTTCCTAAATTTAAGATTAGCCATATATTCAATATTTAGCACATAAAGTTTGTTTTGCAAATGACAGATTAATGGTTCTAATGTATTAAGCCATATTCCCTTTCAAATTCTTGCAATTGTATTTTCCTTCATAAGTACCAAGAGGCCATGAATTTGAGTACCACTTTAGTTAAAGTAAGTACCCCAAAAAAGATCTTGCCTGTGTAAGTCTCAAAGTTCTGTTTATTATAAAAATTACATTTCTTGAGCTAATCAACTAAAACCTACTTTATGAGGTTTATAAAAATGACAAAGTTCAACCCGGACCAATAAAAGCTGCCAGAATTACAGCAAGTTAAAAAGTTGGCAGATTCCAGAGCTTAGTATTATATGTGAATTATGCTTCCTGAACCTTTAAAAAACATTCAGAGAGAGATGCTATGGCAATTTCTATTTCAGAATCTTTGTAAAAAGTAATGTTTTTATTTCTTGGCAGAAATTTGGAGACATGGTTGCCTTTTCTGAGGGAACTGTCTGCCAAATTTCAGATACAGTTGCAAGTTTTATGCAAGAACTTTAGCCTCTCTACAATGTACTTGCTCTGTCAATGTGCCCCTGACGTGCCACCCAAATTTCAGATACAGTTGCAAGTTTTATACAAGAACCTTAGCCTCTCTGCAATGTACTTGCTCTGATGTTATGTGCTGTCAATGTGCCCCTGATGCGCCACAACCCCATGAATGAGTGATCTCTAAAATGTTCTGCCCTCAGTTGCCCTGCTCAGCTCTTGTAGACTCAAGTCTTTAGGAAGTCAGGCCATCTCACATTTGGTCTTCCTCTTTTCCTGTTGCCTTCCACCTTTCCCAGCATTATTGTCCTTTCCAGAGAACCCTGTCTTCTCATGATGTGCCCAAAGTAGAACAGTCTCAGTTTCAATAATTTTATCTTCCAGGATAGTTCAGGCTTGATTTTATTTAGGACCGCATTGTTTGTCCAGGGTATCCACAAAGCTCTCCTCCAGCACATTTCTAGCGAATCCATTTTTAAAGCTCTCCTCCAGCACCACATTTCTAGCGAATCCATTTTCCCCTGTAATCTTTCTTTTCTGTCCAGCTTTCATATCCATACATGGAGATCGAAAATACAAGAGTGTGGATAATTGTGGTCTTTGTCTCTAGTGACACATTCTTATGTTTGACTATCTTGTCTATTTCCTTTATTGCTGCCCTTCTGAGTCACAGTGTTCTGATTTCTTGGTTGCAGTCTCCATTTAGATTGATGATTGAACTATGGTATACAAAGTCTCTAAATATATAAATGAGTCAAGTTTCAAACTGATCTGATCTCCTGCTTTATCAGCTGACTAGAGGAGCATGTTTAATCTTTAAGGTACCATAAGACTCTCTGGTTTTGATTTATGTGGTGATATCAACATTTGAAGGTTCACAGCACAAAACTCCCTCATATGTTTGTTTTAATCACTTTAGAACTCCTAGTAAGAACATCACTGAACCAATCAGAGGAACTTTTAATTCATAAGGCTTAATGAAATACATCAGTAGTTTTCATCAAATGCACTTTAAGACATATATGCTATACTTTGGAAGCACAAGTGAAAAAGGGTCTACGTTTCAGTATGGAATACCCATGAGTCAACTCACTGGAAGATTCCTCTAGCAATAAAATAAGGCTCAGAAGTTTCATAAGACAATATCGTATCAGGACAAGATGTAGCATCTTTTCTGTCCCATTCACTTCATTCTTCCCATATGGACTTAGGCCAGAAAGACCAAAGAAAAGTGTGGGTGCAAGGAGGGCGAGTTGAAAGCAAGCCCAATTTGTAGCATGTCATATTACCATTCCTGATCACAGGCCAAGTCTGTTACATTAGCCTTAGCTTTCCAATTCCTGGCTTTGTGAAGCTTACTCGTCATGAGGTACCCTGAACTGTGATCTAAAATTCAGTGTTTGATAAATGAATTTTAATACCAAACTAAAGCTGAAATGTCTTGGTTCCTGGACAACCTCATGTGCTTTGTGTTAGAAGACCGCTGTGGGTGCCTCAGTCTTCAATCATTGCCAATCATGTATTCCCCCTCACTCAACAGGAAGACTATTCTATGCTGCTCTAGGGTGTCCAGCTCTTTATTTTCATGTTCTCTCCATTCATTTGCTTGCTAGGTGTAGACCAGCTCAAGAGTCTCTTTCATGGTGGTGCGAGGGTGCACGCGGCGCTGCCGCAACCGTTTAATGCTACCATCGACGTCATAACCTGTCTGCTTGTCATGAATGCACTGGCGCAAGTAACACCGGGTGGCTTTTAGGTGCTGGATATTTTCAGCTGTATCTTCAATGGAGCGATCTAACTGGGCTGTAGACTAGGGGAGAGAAGCAAAATGTGAGAAGGTAAGTAGACATTTGGGAGCCAAAGAAGACATCCTTTCTCACCAATTTTGCAGCCAAAAAGATGCAGCAAAGAGATTTGACTCTGAGGCCTTAGAGAAAATTAAGCAACATGATAACTTCCTGAATTACCAATGAGCATAGTGGTACAGTTATGTTTACTACATGACAACATCCAGACCTCATCCTGGGGATCTCTAGTTTTAACAGGATCTTGGGTTGAAGGGCTGGTTACCAGTCTGCACAAGAACCACTTCCAGTCACAAGAAACCATTTTTGGCATACTGGACTAACAATATTTTCAGCTTCCGTTACTGGTAGAAGGGATCAGCCAAACAATATTCTAATCTGTCAAATTGCACTGTCACCAGTATGCAGTGATCCTGCCACACCTTATAGGTGAGGGAGTCTATGCTTCTCATAAATAGGTGACTCCTATTGGCCTTTTACCTGGTTGAGGATTGCGGCTTCAGGCAACTGTGTTCCCACATGTCTTTGGAACACCTTCACCGCTGGCCGTGTCAGCTTCTCTCGTGTCTCCAAGTACTTGCTACTTGCAGGACCCTGTGGACACAAAAATGGTTTCAAATCAAGTATGGGTAGTAGGTGGGACAGAGGAGGAGGAGGAAGATCCTTTCCCAGTTAATCTTCACAAAGTCAGGGATGAACAGAGCAGAATGTAATGGATTACAGTCTGGTTGCTCTCTAGCCCTAGATGCTCACCAAAGCCATTCCTCGTGTGATGCACATCTCATGCTGGAAACGCTGGCAGCGGTGCAGAGTACTACGTGTCCCTCCAAGGCTCATGTCTAGCCGTTCCTGTCGGAGAGAGAAAACAAAGCGGTGGACCAGATTGCTTAGGGTCTCTGAATGTGTATGTACAGTCATGGCCAAAAATATTGGCACCCTTGCATTTCTGTCAGAAAATGCAACTCTTCTCTCAGAAAATTGTTGCAGTTGCAAATGTTTTAGTATTCCATGTTCATTTGTTTGGTTTATGTTGAAACAGCACAAAGAAACAGAAAATAAAAGTCAAATCTGATACAATCCCACACAGAAACCAAAAAATGCACTGGCCAAAATTATTGGCACCCTGTCTAAATTGTAAGAAATAATTGCTTTTCAAGCATGTGATGCTCCTTTAATTTGTATTTAGATACACCTGTCTCAAGTAAGAGGTGTGGGCAATAGAGTAATCACACTTGCAACCAGTTAAGATGGAGAAAAGTTGACAACCTTTGTGTTGTGTGTGATACTGAGCATGGAGAAAAGAATGAAGTGTAAAGAGTTGTCTGTGGATTTGAGAGAAAAAAGTGTGGAAAAACATCAACAATGTCAAGGCTACAAGTCCATCTACAGAGATCTTAATGTTCCTGTGTCCACTGTGCACAATATCATCAAGAGGTTTACAGCCCATGGCACTGTAGCTAACCTCCCTGGACATGGATGGAAGACAAAATTACTGAAAAATTACAACAAAGGGTTGTCTGAATGGTGGATACAGAACCCAGTAGCTTCCCAACAAATTCAAGCTACAGGGTACAACAGTGTCAACTCACACTGTCACCATCTGAATGAAAAAGAACACTATGGTAGGAGACCCAGGAGGGCACCACTGCTGACACAAAGGCATAAAAAAAGCAAGACTGGAGTATGCCAAAACTTATGTGACAAAACCAAAATCCTTCTGGGTGACGTACTGTGGACAGATGAGACAAAAGTATACTTTTTGGTTAAAATAATCATGGCACTTTTTACAGAAAAAGGCATTCAAAGAAAAGAACACAGTCCCTACAGTCAAACATGGTGGAGATTCAAAGATGTTTTGGGGTTGCTTTGCTGCTTCTGGCACTGGATGCCTTGACTGTGTGAATGGTATCATGAAATCTGATGATTACCAAAGAATTACAATTATAATAAAGTGCTCAGCTTCAAGGCTCACAACCAGCACTGATCCTGAGTCTGCTGGGGGTGTAGTATATACAGTAGGAAAGATCCAGGAGGACAGGAAAGGGGGAAAAAGTGTTCTTGTGGCTCTAAAAGTGCTCTGCAGGACTCATGTTCCAGAGTGATTCGAAATCTGATTAGCTGCACTATTTGTTACGAATATCCTTGTACGTGCTTATCAGTAAGACGAAAACACAGGATCCATTGGCATCCGTAGATATTTTTCTGTTAATGTGGTCAGCAGATGTGGGGGTAGGGAGAACTTTGATTAGAAACATGCCATGGTCAAAAGCTAAGCCCCCCTTCCCCATGCCACAACCTTTCTTTCACTCACTACACCATGACTGCTCACCTATTTAAAAAAGAATGCACACTAGCTAGGTGGCTGTGAGCTGTCCTGTTTTGCCATGGCCACATTACACAGCATTAATTATCAGGAGGAGAAAGGTGAGGACCTCTGGCTATCTTTTTACATGAGGGAAGGACCAGTAACTTTGTTTTCTAGAAATACTGTTCAAGCCATCTTGATCTCAGTTTTTGTGTTGGTGGGAAGTCTAATGGTAAGGAATAATTTCATTAAGTTTGGTGGAATCACTCTGTCTGGTGCAAGAAATACCTGTATGTATAAGAATAATGATTGGCTCTGCTGTTTGGGGGATTCTGGAAGTTGTAATCCAATAAAGGATTTTTCCCCCAGACCCTGCATCAGAACAATAGGATGTTAGATCTCCCCTTACCTTATGAGAGAGTGTCTCATCCCTCTTGCCTTGCAGGCTGTTTTCAATAGTATTGTGGGCTGTATTACGGATGTTCTCTGCTTCATTGATAGTCTTCTGTAGCTGAAGTATCATATCCTTGGTAAGGAAGGTGAGGCGGCGAGCCTGTTCCAGAGCTGCTGCACAGTCTAGAGGGTTAAAGAAGTTGGAAAAGGGAGAAGAAATAGAAGCTCTTCTCCAAGCTTGTTTCCTTGCTGGACTACATAGTTCTCTGACACACCTGAACTTCAGCTCCTTAGTTTTGGCAATGGAATGATCTATTATATGCTGCTTACAAAGTAATATCTGCTGTTTTGTGGAAAACTGCTTTTGCTTTTGAACCACATTGCACTGCTTTAAAATCTATGAGACTGTAAGATCACCCATGTTTTTTCGATACCACGTGTAACATGTTTTCCCTAGTTTTTTTTCTTCCTCTGCTGGTGCTCAGACAGAGCCACATAGAAACAGAAGCAGTGTCCAGAGCAATGAACAGGCTGCTTTAACAACTTGGCGTTCTTCTCATCAGCTAGCCTCTAAAACTACCTGCATATCTTCCAAAACTCAGACGTCACCTATTGCCAATGATTGCACTAGCCTCTAAAACTACCTGCATATCTTCCTACCCAAAACTCAGACGTCACCTATTGCCAATGATTGCATTCAACCCTATGATTCCTTAGTATCTTACAGTACCTTATATTTTTGTGATACTAGAATTTAGCAAATTTTATTTAGTCCAAGCTTTTGTGAATTACACCCCAAATGCAACACTGATAAAAGAACAGGAATAAACTGAGAAGAGACACATCAAAGGATAAACTGAGAAGAGACACATCAAGGGATAACATGCTGAGCTGTTCCTCATGCACTGATGAAGACGCAGTCAGCCTACTGCTTGATATGAGAGGCTGGGTTTGTTTACAAGCATTGCTTTGTATAAATATACATGCTAGCAGGCTATTTCAGCAGCTTAGAGGTGCAAGCACCCTCTTAACCTCTGAATAGTCATTGCTTTTCTTTGCCTTGCATTAGACAGATGGGACACGTTTGCCCCTCCAGAGATGTTTAGACTTCAGTTTTCAGAAGCTAAGTTTTCATTGTGGCCAAAGGGAAGCCATTATGGGAATTGTGGCCAGAGACATCTGTAGGGGCACAGATTCTCTCTCCCTGCCAAATAGGGTTCTGTAACACATATATGCAGTAGTCTTTTATGTTTTAATTCTTGAGTTCTTGTGCATAGTGACTTCCTATATGTTTGCTTTCCTACTTACTGGAACTCTGTGGGATAGTGCTCTTTTCCTTACCTGGCGTAAAGGGTCCAACAGGGTCAGGGACAGGTGTCTCATTTCGCTCCACCCAAGGGGACGAAGGCCGACCCAGTCTAAGCCAGGAATCACGTCCAGCCCCTAGGAGAACCATGCGCAGAGGCTGTGGCACCAGGTCCAGTACGCGACCACGTTCACAACACAAGGTGTCCAGGGTTTGCCTGCATGTGCCCAGGGCCTGCAGCAAGTGAGGCGGGTGTGAGCAGGAAGCCAGAGACAAGAAACTCACTTGCATCCCTGCACTCTGCCTTCAAGAAGTAGAAAGCTTCGATCTGAGCCAATCTACTTGAGTGGAGCAGGAGATAAAGCTAAAGTACTGACAGAAGAGAGGATTAAAGAGGTAATTATTTAAGCATTGAAAACTTTTCATGCCTCAAGTTTGCAAATTATTTTTCCTAGTTTTATGATTATTTTCAAGAGGTAAGGAGCATATATTATTACTTAATCACAAAAGCCTGCCCTATCGTGTCTCTGGAGCACTAGTGGAATACATACAGTACCTTGGAATTTCCCTCTCCTATATTGTTAGATATAGGACTTACAGACTTTTCGAGTTACAGACTTCTCTGGCTGCAAAATTTAGATTTGACTTGCAGCCGGAGAATCGACTTACAGACCAGAAAAAACCCAAAATGGGACAAAAATAGAATAAAAACCGCTGGTTGTGGGATTAATCGGTTTTCAATGCATTGTAGGTCAATGGAGGTTCGACCTACAGACTTTTCGACTTGCAGCCACCATTCCAATACGGATTAATTCCTTAAGTAGAGGGTCCACTGTACCTTGGAATTTCCTTCTCCTATATTGTTAGATATAGAATGACTTGCCAATCCTTGCCAATCTAATTATATGTCTGTAACATACCTTGGTCCTCAGACTGCAAGGATTCTTCCATCAGTTCAGCAGCCTCTATCATTCAGTACCTTTCCAAAATAGCCTTCTCTACCTGGTCGTTCTATAGCTAACAATATAGGAGAGGGAAATCCCAATATGTATTCCATTAAGTCATTAGATGCCTAACAATGTGTTGTTATGTGCTGTTAAGCTGGAACTGACTTACAGCATCCCTAACATGGTTTTCAAGATACATGGCATATTTAAGGAAGGGTTTTACCATTTCCACCTCCTAGTGAGTTTCCATGGCTGGGCAGAGATTTGTACCCTGGTCTCCAGAATCATAATCTATCACTCTGTCCACAACTACACCACACTGGGTATCAGCCTAATATCGGAGAGAGAAATTTCAGCAGTTTATGATTGTAATGCAGCCTGTCAATGGACCCAGTCCAACTACTGTACATATTTTCCTTCTATACCTACATCCTACTCATTATGAAAAGACTCTTGCACACACACCTTTGAAATTTTGTTAAAGTGACAGCTGGACTAGAATATCTGATGATATTCAGATGACCAGACAATGGCAAAATCTGTGATCTATAGGTATAGTATGGATGTTTCGTTTTGATGTTTGTTATTGTTAGGTTTTAGTTTTTTGTTCTGTATGTTGGTGTGTATGAATAAAAATAATAATTTTCAAAACAAAAAAAAGATGTATGCTGCACTCTGTAGCGGTAACCAATGAATTGGGCTGATGCGGAGTCATGTTGTTCCCTAGGGAATGACGTGACTCCAGCACAATGAATTTAAAATGCCTGTGCACTCTTTGTGTGATGATTAAAGAATCACCTCTGTATTGAAACTCAACAACTGTGTCCCCTACAGATCATTAGGAGGATGCTCAGAGCCTCATCTGACAGGATGCTATGACTTCTCCTTTTTGCAGTATAGTGGAGTATTCTTCTGAAGCTTCGGAAAATGTATTGCTTTGATAAATGATAAATATGCCCCAAACTTTCATATGTATTGAGATTTCTTTTTTTTTAATATGGTGATTTCAGCTTCCACTAATTAATAATACAGTAATTATGTGCTGTCAATCAATTCTGATTTATAGCAAGCCTTTCCAGGGTTTCCTAGGTATAGAATACTCAGGAGGGGTTTCCCATTCCCTTCTTCTGGGGTCATCCGGGGACTGTGCAGTTTGCCCAAAGCTTAAAGAGGCTGACTGTTGTCCCAGAAGACACAATAGGAAATTGAAATCCTAACCTCTAGCTCCACAGCCAGATTACTAACTCACTGACAAATCCTGTACAAATCCTGTATCAGTACAAATTCTGGGCAAGCTAATGTTTTTATACCATCAACCTATGCTTGATTTCATACCTTGAGATGATCTCCTGACAGTGCCATCATCCCCTCCAGCTTGGCTTTCAGTTTAAGGAACTCCTCCTTCTCCCATTTCATCAATGCATCTGCCTTGTCAGGTACCTACACAAAAGGTGGGAGAGCAAACATTGGCCAAGTGTCTACATCCACAAGAACAGTAAGTGTCAAATTAGTTGGGGCAAATGTTTTCCAGTTGAACTATTTAACTGGCATTCCAGTTGAACTATTTAAAATCTTAAAGGATGATGCTGTTAAGGTGCTACATTCAATATGCCAACAAGTTTGGAAAACTCAACAGTGGCCAGAGGACTGGAAAAGATCAGTCTACATCCCAATACCAAAGAAGGGCAGTGCCAAAGAATGCTCCAACTACCGGACAATTGCACTCATCTCACACGCCAGCAAGGTTATGCTCAAAATCATACAAGGTAGGCTTCAGCA